TATATATATATATATAAATATATTTTTCGATCGTTGATCATCATCATCATCATCTTCTTCAAACACGAGTCCTCAAAGCAAAGAGCGCAGAGAGGAAAGAAAAGCCATGGCAAATAAGGAGATGAAGGACAAGATCGATAATCTTGACATCCAGATGCGGAGTATGAGCGAGGTTATGGAAGGAAGGCTTGAGTCGCTTGACGAAAGTCAAAACAACACCAACACCGTCGTCACGTGACTCGAGCAGCGGTTAGAGGAAGTATTGCGCGCGATCCAGCAGCAACTGCCACACCATCGCGATGATCCCCCAAGGCGCGAACCACGCCAGCACGCCGATCTCACACCATCCCCACGGCGCGAGGATCGACGCGACCAGCGGCGCGCGCGAACAGGACAAGGACCGGCGATGCGAGGGTTACGAACACGAGGAGGAGGTCGATCAGCGGTCGCAGGCGTCTACCTACCGTGAGCGGCCTATTCCCGGCAAGCTGAGGTTTGTGATGTCCATCTTCACAGGTAGTGATCCTGAGGCGTGGCTCAACTGAATTGCGCAATATTTCGAACTGAATGAAACCGAAGGCCACGATCGAGTGAGGTACGCAGCATTCTATTTGGATGGAGAGGCCAACGTATGGTGGCAGTGGCTCTCAAGGATCTACCGTAGGCGGCAACAAGTCATTACATGGGCTGAGTTTGAGAGAGAACTGCTCACGCGATTTGGCACGTCCGATTACCATAATTATAATGAGGCCCTCGCACGAATCCGATAGACAGGCAGTCTGCGTGAATACATTAAGGAGTTTGAACGACTATCCTGTCGCGTGCGAGATTGGTCTGAGGATGCGCTAGTAGGAGCCTTCGTAGGTGGGCTAAGGTTCGATCTAGCCGCAGAAGTTCGACTGGAGCGACCGGGCAGGATGCATAACGCCATGGAGGTGGCCCGTCGACGCGAAGATCACCTGGTCGCTACGCGAAGGGGACGGGCGGACGTGCGATTCACGGACACGCGGCGCACGGGATCGAACCAAGCCACGGTCAGCGCACGGCCGAACGTCAGTAATCGGCCAACAGGGTCGATAATGAGGCGGCTGTCCCCCGAGGAAGTTAAACGTCGACATGAGAAAGGCCTCTGCTTTAAGTGTGAAGAGAGGTTTACTCCCGGTCATCAATGCAAACAAGCCTTTGTAATTGAGGTGGCCAACCCCGACGACGAGGAAGCTGAGGTCGAGGAGGAACCACATCAGGAAGAAGAGATTGAAGCCCTCCATGAGGAGCCTGAAATATCGATGCATGCAATGGCTGGAATCAGAGGACCAAGGACGATGCGTCTACCAGCATGGGTCAAGGATAGAAGAGTAATTGTACTTGTAGACAATGGATCGTCTCATAACTTCATCAATATGAGTTGTCTGAAAAGTTGAAGTTGCCAACCACAAAAATCGATCCCTTCGAAGTCCGAGTAGCCAATGGAGAAAGGCTACAATGTACTGAGTCATTCCGGAAGGTGCCAATCAAGTTTAACGGAGTTACTGTGAAGGCCGATCTCTATGCATTACCTTTAGTTAGACCGGATGTCGTCCTAGGAGTACAGTGGCTCGAAGGGTTAGGCAAAGTGACCACCGACTACCGAATAGGAATTATGGAGTTCAACTCCGGAGGTCAGCAAGTCACTCTGAGTACTGGCAATGAAAAAGGTACCAAGGAAGTAGGACTGAAAAGCATCGAAAGAGTTTGGCGAGGTGGCGGCCAAATTTTTGCAGTAGTGGTCGAGAACCCTAAGGCGCACATAGACCAAGATGAGCAACAACAAAGTAATGTGCGCGAACTTCTCGAGGAATTCGAAGGAGTACTAGGCGAGCCTAAGGGACTACCACCGCACCGAGAGTTCGATCATCGCATACCACTGATCAATGAGCAGCACGCCATACACGTTCATCCTTATAGGTATGCTCACTTTGAGAAAACCGAGATCGAACGGCAAGTGGCTGAGATGCTTGAGTCAGGACTAATCCAGCACAGCAAGAGTCCGTTTTCTTCTCCAGTCCTATTAGCCAAAAAGAAAGACGGCACATGGAGGTTCTGTACGGACTACCGAGCTCTGAACGCTGCAACTATCAAGGACCGATTTTCTATCCCTAGCGTTGACGACATGCTCGATGAGTTAGCCGGGTCCCGCTATTTCTCTAAGCTTGACCTGAGAGCTGGTTACCATCAGATTCGACTCCACAAGGCTGACATTCAGAAGACAACATTTCGTACGCACCAGGGGCACTATGAGTATCTGGTTATGCCATTCGG